CCATGTTTAGATTTAATTAAATTTGTCAAATTGGCGATCCTCTTTATTCAGACGCTTTTCAATTTAATCCTCGCTCTCATAAAACTTTATTATTTCCCATAAAGCTTAAACATAATTAAGCTCAGCAAGTCCTCTTGCATTTTAAGTCCATAGTGTCCGTTGAATGATCTGTGGAGATGCGTTCTACTTTTATTAGACACTTCTCCCCTAGCTTAAGGAAGAGATACATTTGAGATAGCATCCTACCGTACTTTCCTTATCGAAAATAAAACTGAAACATCATCATATCGTGCTTTATTTGAATTTTCTTTTTCAGGTGCCGCCCATGGATTAATTGGCATACTTTTCTCTATTCTCGTTCACCCGAGCTTTTTGGATATTTGTCCCGTGGCTGAGAAAATTATAGATCATACGCTCCGCATGCTAGCTAGCGATGCAATAACCCCTTCTGATTCAGGGAACTTGCCTGAGTCCATGGACGAATTACCACCGGCTAAACATCGTGACATGGAAAAAAAATGCGCTACTGCAGTGGTGTCACGGAGCTGCTGGTATATATTTCCCCTTTCTCTTCTTTCGTCTTTTATTATGCTTGTTCTTGAAACCACTTTTGTCTCGATTTTTAGGTGCAGCGTATGCATATGCAGCTGCCTACCTTCGGTGGAAGGACGCTTTCTTCCTTGAACAATGTCGTCGTTGTGCTAACTTAGTTTGGAAATACGGCTTGCTTAGAAATGGTCCATGTCAGTCTCTTCTGTTTTTATTAAGCATTATTCTTTTCCTGGTAAAATTCCAAGGTTTACCTTGCTAAATGTATAATAAGAAAGTAACAGATGAAATAATAATTATAGAACCGACTAAAAATGCCTTTACTGAGATTATTAGTTTCTTTTTTTTCTTCCCTTTGCTTTTTACTTCACACTAAACCAATCATTGAGAATAATAATAAGTAGATGATTAATAATAGCTGAGAACGAGAGAAAGGCCAAACCTACGAGTTATTCTTTCCATACTAATAGTCATTAAATGTATTTTGGTTGCCACATTTATTAGAAGATTTAGCTGAGTTACCGGTAATCCCGAGAACCTACCTATAGAACAAAGAATTTAGTGTTAGCTTCCTTTTGCGATGCAACCTCGGTTTTTATCTATTTGATCAAGTGTCTCTCTCCTGACTGACTGTAAATAAGTAGAGCTTGAATAAAAAACGGATATTTACCAGTTTGCCAACAGATCTTACTATGAATACGCCGATTTGAATAATTAAGCTTGTACCCTATTGTGCCGCAGATGTGGAACCTGTTTTAATCCTGAGGATAGCTGCTTGGACAAATACTTATTATATTCCGTTGACGCTACTCCTGCTCAGATCTTGTAAGAGTGGCGGCGTAAATTCATCTTCACATGTTATAAGTTAACTACGCAAAGCATTAGATAATAAAATTTTTTCGAAGCCAGGCAAACAAGCCTGACCAATTGTAATATCACCGGTTATGCGGAATTTGGGGCATCGTTATTTTTATCAAAGTACATTCCTCATCTGTTTTCGTTTATTATCACGACCTTTTGCTGTCATTCATCTGCTTACCGTACAGAAGACCTTGGCAATTTTAAGGTAACTGCTCCATAATTAGCCACCAGTGATAGGGATATACGAAATGAATACATTGCTGTACGCCTATACTTAAAGTTAAAGCATTCCTCTCGCTTGGCGTTTACTTTACTAACAAGTTTTTTTAAGTATTAAGATCCCCTCATCTGCATTTTATTATCATATTGTCTCTGCAGGTATTTGTCATGGTGTGGCTGGCAATGGTTACGTCTTCCTACTGCTCCATCGTCTCACGAATGGCACAGAGCCCATCTGGCTGTACAGAGCCGCTTGTTTTGCTGATTTTCTTACTCAACCAGTATTCCTTAACTCAGTCCTATATTATCATCAAAATGGTATCTCATTGTTTGAGGGCCTATCTGGCACCGCCTGTTTTTTAAGTGATTTGGCGAATCCCGACAAAGCAGCATTCCCACTCATGGATCCTTTCTGGGCTGTTGAACCATGGGAGAAGTAATGTTACAATTGGCTTGCTAGTGGCCAAAAAGAAGGCGTGTGCGTGCCTATTTATTCTTGCATGCACTTTTTCGGACTAGCTCCTGTCTTGTCATAGACTCTCCTTTATTCCTAAATCATCCATCTCAGTGGGAGCTCATTTTCCAAGCATGATGGACTGCGCGCTTATCCTTAGGATCAGTCATTCATTCATCTATTCCTTCTCAACTTAATGTTACTCTCTCATTCTTCATCGCGAATTATATTTACACTTTTGCTTTATATACTTTTTTAATCACATAAATTTTCTGTAAGCATTCACCGTCTAAAAACTGTCTTTACCTCAATTTCATTTTGTCATGTTCCATGTTATTGGGATTTACCAAAAATGATTTCGTCAAAGCATATTGCCTGACTTACATTAACGATAAAGAATCTGGTGTCGGTTATCATTTGCCTGCTTAAATTGCATGTGGTTGCTTGCCCGTGAGCTCTTGAGGTACACTCTTACTGGTATTGGTGGTTATAATTCGTCTCTGAACTCACTCGCTGACTCGGCGTTTGGTCTTACGAAGTGGAAGTAATCCCAACAAGTATCGCTTTGAGTCAGGTCAAAGTTTAATATGATTATAAAATGATCCAACGCCATTTTGACGAGTACTACCTTGGGACCTGTTCTGAGACCGATAAGACAGATAAAAGGTATGAAAATGTAGTGAATGTTGAAGGTGTATAGAGATTAGGTGTGTAAAGCTAGTTGGGTGCAATATGAACGCTGCTTTCCACGTAAGCCAGGTGAAGTGTCTGACGATGACGCGTGATGTGGATTAAATTATGGCCAAAGAGCTGCATCCTCCAGTAAAACACTAATATCTTCAATCCTGCAATGTTGGCGCATGTAATTGTCTTTGATCGCAGGTGCATTGTATGCATACAATGCTCGTGAGTCACGTAAGGCGTGAAGGTGAAAACTCGGATTCTAGGCTAGTCAACGGAATCTCCAATCCTATCCAACAGGCGTTAATAGTTTTATCATTTTTTCCTCCTATTTAAAGTGTTGGAATGCATCGTCACGACTACGTTGCGGGTGAAACGACTGAGAACATGCCAGGTCAACGGTCCAATGCAACGAATATTATGGCAGAGGATGCAGAGCTAGGAAGGTTAAGGAGTGTATATAGTATTCCAACAACCTAAAAAGGAGAATGAGTTCAGGAAACTAAGCGAAAAATGCTAACGCGTGTTGGATAAGTTTGGAGAGAGAGCGGAACAAAAGTAGCCTTGATTGGCCTCGAATCTAGGTTTTTAAAATCACGCTTACGGGCATTTTATGCATACAACGAACGTGAGACCAAATGTAATTACATGAGTTGACGTTTCAGGGTTAAAGTCTTTGTGATTTAAGGGAGGATACAACTGTTTGGCCATAATTGCATCAACTTCATGCGCCATTTTCAGCCACTTCACGTGCCTCGCGCAGCAAGCATATAGAGAAATCAGAATCCAAATACATTCCGTTCATTTGCGTTAGGCTTCCGCAGCCTCCCATCCATCGACGTCTCCCACAGCTACACCACTCCAGCAAGTTAGCCTCTTCCAGTCTTACCTCATCCTTCTCATCACGGGCACGTACGCAGACTGTATTAGATTGCATCCAACTAGCTTTGCACGTCTGGTCTTTATACAATTTCCATATTCACCACATCCTCCCATCTTTAATCCTTCTTATCGGTCTGAGGACAGACACCATACTAATAACAGACACCAACATGGAGCTGGATCATTTTAGACTCATTATCAGTCGAGACTCGACTCAAGGGATAAGACCAAACGCCGAGTCAGCGAATAGGTTCAATGATGGATTATAATAAGTAATGCCAGTTAGCCTGGGTGAGTGAAAATCTCATAGGACTAAAGTTATTTCACGAGGACCCGTGTGAACCATATTCAGCCAGTCCCGATTTATGGACCCACAAACATTTGCAGGCCTCAACCTTCTGCAAAAATAAGTGAATGTGGTGTAATGATTGATAATGAAAACTGTCCGGTTTTTGATAGGGGCAAAAATGAAGAGTATAAATCACGTAAATTACTCTCGAAGAGAGTAGCACTTGAAGCTATAAATAATCATTAAAAAAGAACTTGGTCGTACCACATTGCCTAAGTTTATCTAAGGACGAATAGCCGGATTTCCCTACGTTGAGAATAGGCTATTGAATTTCACATAGACCTGTCTCCAAAAGACTATCTGATCCAGAGTAAAATAGAGTTTTGACTTAGACTGGGTCTCATTAGCACCCCCAAAGGGTTTCGATATCGAGTCGTGAGTATTGTGGGGTATTACCACTCCAATCCGCAGCCACGGATACCAGTGGATCACAGAGCAGACGTGATAGACGTAGAAGAGAGTACTTATATGTAGGTCCCTCTGAGACCATGGTTGTTCCGAAAAGGAGTTCAGATAAAATCGATACAGTAGAAGAATGCGACCAAAATAACGAGCATAATATTTTGGTCCCCATTTCTATGAACAAATATTAAATTCATTTAGGCAAATTTCCGAAATTTGTCATACTGTAATGCAACGTGGATTACAGACAAGCAAACGTATTTTCCTTATTTGTTATGACTAAAAGTTTACATTTTTGCCCATTTAGAGGAGTATGGTTTGCAAAAGACCCTTAAGCGCAAGTTGTTACATGGGCGAAAAAATTAAATAACCTATTCCGATTAATGTAACTAAACTTATCACTTGGGGTCGAAATCTATGATGAAGATTCTTAGTAATATGTTCCATTTAAGCTTCGCGGTACACCATAAAATAGGTCAAAAAACGGAGTATTGCCAATAGTATCATGAGTACAAGAATATTTCCTTGAAAATTCGTAATGTATTTTAAAGGTCAATAAGTGTTGTAATTAGTGAATGTACGTAGACATGTACGTGAATGCGAATTTCGTATAGTATGACTAAGTCACGAAAACGCGTGACAAGAAAAACCGGTTTTGAAAGCGTAAAAAATAACGAGACAATAGTCGCTGAGTGTCCTTATACATATTTACAGAGAAAACAAGTGAGAATATGAATAAATACGCCAACGAAGACTATCAAAGTAGAATCGCAAATGACATTATTTGATAGATGAAGTAATTATATATATATATACTCGTATGTATAAATAACCAAAAATATGAGAACGTGTGGATTCATATACTCATGTGAATATTATAAGGGAGAAAATGATGCTTACAAAACATGATAATCTACAAGATTATTGGAGATTATTGATACAATGAATAAAAATGGACGCCACCCGGGCCCTATCAAAATTAAGAAGAGGTGAAATGAAACTTGTGAGATACAATGAAGGAATATTAAACATCGATGAAAAAGAGGAAAGACTAGGAATTTCGGGTTCACCTTATCTTAGGTTAGGAGAAGGCCGAATAAATCGACGAGCAAATCTATGCTGAATTTAGCATGCAAAGGTTGCCCGATTTAGGAACAAAGCAATGAGGCCAGTTTAAATGCCCAAAACGAGACTGCTATAAGGATGACCAAGTTAAAAGGTCGTTAAGGAGAATGATACCAATATGGCTTCTCCTAATGGCATTAACCTGGTGGACGGAAGAGGAAGAGGGAGTGTAGTGTTGGTGAGGAATAAGGGGTACGAGGCAAATTGCAAATAAATGAAAACAAGAGATTATGCTGAATGTAAAGAGAAAACAATCGTACAGTGGAAAATCGAACCAGGTTTGCCAGAACAGAGTCCAGCGCAAATTAGACAAGAAAAGGATAAAAGAGAATGTCATTTTCTCTCCTATCTCGATTTCGTGATTGTGGAGGACATATAAAATTGATAGATCGATGCTGCTAAGCAGAATTGGGTTAAAAATCAGAAAATAGTTTATACAACATATCATATAGTCAAGTTAATACAAATGCATATTAAATCTCGGGGACTGGTAAGAAAGAGAAGTGGCCCTGAAATATCAAAAGAGTGATATTAGTGTTATGACAGGATGATCCTCGCCTTCGAAAATACGTAGCTTAATATTGACATATAGTAGAGAGGATGAAGAAGAGGCTAAGAAGATAAACTAACATAAAAACATTCTTGACAGGGGAGAATGTTAAAATATATAATACAAAAGAAGAATAAATATAGTTAATTATATCAATGCGAGAAGAGCAAAGGGGTATGAGGATCATGTCTAAGTCAAAAAATGGAGAACCCCTTAAGTCAAGAAAATTGGAGTTCAAGCGCATAGGATAAATTAGCAGCCATATGGTTGACAGGTATGAGAAAAAACGTGAATGCAATAGTTAGTTTAAAAAGTAGATATAAATTTATGTACACGAGCTTTAATCAGATCGAACAAAGGTTTTTCGTATTTTATATTGGGCAAATAAAGCAATATTTTTTGTTGTAAGATACCTTTACCTATATCACCGCACTACGCGAGGAAAAAAGCTAACAGCTATCCCCTGTAAAAGCGTAGACCCATAGAATATGCGAAATTCACAAAAGCTATATAGAAATCGCTTAATTTTTCAGCATCAATTTGACGCAGAATTAAAGTAGATAGAACATTATAAAATGGTGGGGAAAAATGCGGATAGATGATGCATAAAAGAAGGTAGAAATTCCATTAGCCTGAATTTTGTCCAATTCATGATACTATGCAATCATGCAGTTTTTAGTTAAAGTAAAACATTTTGCTCGATGGTATTAACCTTCGGCTACAGCCGATGAATTTCTTGTGTATACTTGTTAACATACCAATAAACACTAATAATATCAAGTTTGGGTTGACTCGGAAAATTCCGTCCATTTGTTCCAAAACCTACATCGACAATCCGTAGATTTTGTTCGTAATACTCATTTGAAGTTACGCCTATTCATAAAGCTTGTCATATGATGAAATAGTGATAAAAAAGGTTTGCAATGACCATTTTGATGCTTTGGAGTGGGAGTTATAAAAAGAGCAAGCGCTATCGGACAAAAAATGCAAGCCATCAGCTCCCGAAACTTTATTACTACATAAGTATGGAAATTAAGACCTAAAAAATCAAAACAACTCGGTTTCAAAAGCTTGCGTCATACAATGCATTTAGTCGGTAGTCATGTAAATAAGGTAAATATGTATAACCGAACCTTTTGCAAGCTAAGTTATGCATATTCCATCTGTCAAGTTTACTCGGACTTTTATAAAGGGGAAACAGATATTACCTCACGTTAGGTGATAGAAGCTAAGTGATATTATTCATGTCTTAAATGTGAAGAATATTGTTTACGTGCTAGATATAAAATACGAGAAAACTTTAAAATTAACCTGATACATGTAAATCTGAGGTGATAAATGCAAGAATCACTTCAACCAGTATGGCCCACAAAATATTTTGAATGTCTATCGGTTGAAAACACACATCTTCGGAGGTATGGAAGGAAAAATAGGAATGGAGCTGAGATTTAGAACTTATATAAATGAACTAAGATTGTTGAATAGACAAAACGATGAGTGATGCAGATTTGTCTGTCAAAATTAAGTGACCCAAGGATTAAATAGTGCATTTGTGATAAAAAACTAAACTGGAATCAAAATAACGCTAAGGTCATTTGGCTGTCTAGATAGCGCAGCCATACTTATCTGAATAGCTGGTTAAATAAAAAGTCACAAGTTCAAATCCGAAAAGGGATTGAGGAAGATAATAGGTTGAGAGGCACGTGTCCGGTAACCAGTTCAGGCGAGGCGACATTGGAATCAAGAGGGGTGAGTCGAATCTCTTATAGGGGATGGCATAAAAGAGAAATTCAAATATAATATGCATTTGAAAGCAGACCAAATCACAATTGCCGTGGCATTTTTAAGAGCGTAGACATTCAAATTATTTTGAGAACCAAAGAAATGTCCGGGTATGTAGAAAGAGAAATAGTGAAGATACTTTTGTATGGGCTAACGTAAATAGTGAATAGGTGGTCAGTAGACGGTTAAAACATGTATAGAGGAATGTACGAAACGTGAATTTGCATGATAATATATGACACGAAACTAAACATACATAAGATACTGAATTCGGCAAAGATGTATGAGCTACTCGAAAAAAGTAAGGTAAAAAGGGAGTGGCCAATACCACCAATGCAATTATTACTAATCAGCATCATCCCTAGATAACAGTAAACATCATACTCCTATCCATTGTAGCGATAAGACAATTAGGAAAGCAAGGGAATCAAGAAAGTAGTAAATGTGAATGCTCTATGCAAACTTGTGAGTATGCGAAACCTTGAAATAAAGAATGAAATACTCAACAACCAAAGCTGTATGGCAAACAAGAGATTTGAGAAAAAAATCTTAGTCACGCTCGCGTCCAGTTGAAAAAAGATATTTGCGTATATATAGGATACAAGAAAAAAACATGCTAAACAAAGAAGCAATAGACTTAGCTGGGAAAATTATGTTGACAAAGATATTCCAAGGAAAAGAAGAGGAGCAGGCAGAAGTTTAGCGTTTCCTATGCTTTCCACCTCCCGGCGTGCTGCTACTTATCTGCTTTCCAAAGCCAGAACCGCAGAACCCGGTCCCAGTAGTGGTCCCTGCACCTCCTGGTCCTCCATTTCGACCCACAGCAGGAGCCTGGCTGGCCAGTTTGCCACCAACAGATGATACCACTGCCGCCTCCTTAATAGTTAATTCGCTCAGGCCATCAGCTTCGTCGGCATTAACCTGTCTCTCGCCACTAATTAATATATCTGTTGACTTACGTCCATTTGACTGCTTAGGTAAAGAGCTGCCAGTAACACCAACGCCAGTTGACGTTAGCAAGTTTGAATCACTATTGCAAATACCGACTGTGGATCGATGCATGTTGGCTTGGAAGGGAGTCAGGCAGGCACCGGAACCTAAAAATGTGCCAAAGACATGGTATAGGAAGAGGGCCAAGATTGATGAAGCAAAAAATGCCCTTTGAGATACCATATCATGATTATTCACAGACCTTATTCTAGTAGTCAAATTGGTTATAAAACGAATCTTGTTAATGAGCTAGAGCGTGATTTTTCTCGACTGCATGATAATGAAGCTTAGATGTAAGACTATCCTTTTTCAATTTGGACAGCAATATCTTCCGTGATGAATGTGAATGGCATACGACTGGCTGAGAGTTGATGCGATTTAAGCTTGACGTTATGGTTTGTAAAATTAAGGTTCTCTTGGCGACGTCGGAAACTTTTTATATTACACAGGGCACTATGAGCCACCCCTCCTATTAGCAATAATCCAAAAGGATGAACCAACTAGCCAGAGTGAATCGCTAAGAAATTTTTTAAGCAATTAAATCGTTTTCCCGAATCAAGTTATCCTATTTTAGCTTATATTAATGTAGAGGCCTGATACCCTGGGAGAATTCAAGAACTAAAATCTACTTCAATCTTTCTCATATCATTCAAAAAGTGTACCAAAACCATGCGAGCCATGATGTTCTTATTGTCTCTTTAACAATGTCATTATTGCATATAGGTCTGTCTTGCCCGTTGCTGGCATTGCCATAAAAAATCACGCTCTTAAAATGTCAATAGAGCAAGGAATTTTTTTAGGTCATTAGGATAGTTTCGTCTGTCATTAGAGTAATGGAT